CACGTTGGCTGCTGGTCTGCGGCGACTTCTTACAACGCCAAAATACCCTGTCAATAATTTTGTCAACGCTTCCGCTGCTCGTCCAGTTAGTTTGCCAATATTCCCATTGTTGCTTTAATAAGCTCCCAAAAGACCACTGAACTCCTTTACATTGCTACGGTTACTGCCGTCTATGCTGTATTTAGCGTAGCTCGATCGAATAGGTTCCTTATGCCGCGAAAACGAGAGATTATGTAAGAGGCAATGGAAGATTCGTGGAACGTCTCAGAATGTAACTATGCTCCAACACCTTCTATCCCTTTAGATCCAGGTGTATCTTTCACTTCGGCAAGACCTCTTCAAATCTAAGCGAAGCTGATTTAAGTTGCATCCAACGTGCTTTGATCACCATCTAACGCTACTGCTCCTGATGTACCTTAAATTAGTAGCCAAATCTTAAGCAGCAACCCATCATGCGTTATGACGCCACTTTTCCTTCCCTATAACGAGCACACGATACTACAACTTTCTTTGACTATACCCGCAACTCTAAACTAGTTTTTCGCTGCTTATTATACGTAACCCCAGCAAAACTAGCAAGAACCTATTTCTGAAAACGGTATCGGCATCTGCATCGGTATCAAATAAGCTTCTCTGTGCATTTAAAACTCTTAATTTTTAGAAGGTGTGCATGACCAAGTGCAGACTTTCCATCTCTCTCAGATTTTAGATGGAACCGCACAGTGTGCACGTACATCATACCCAAATTCGCGTCTAAATCCTTTAAAACGGCACAACTCTGTATGAATACGGATCTTTTTAAAAGATTGTACGAGGCATGTACGGAGAATGCAGAACTATGACCCCGGTAGTTTTCGGGCGGTCTTTTTGCTCCACACTAACTATCAGTAAGCTAACACGGCCGTACGGTACTACAGCGGCTCGTAGACAGTAGCACATATACACACGCACAGGAGACGATTAGCAAGCGTGGAGCAAGTATGTCATTATGGTAGATATCCACACGGTCGAATTCGGCAGAGGTAGCGAAGCTTCATTAGAACCCACAAGAGTTTATAGCTCTTCTTATACAGCTGCTTTTAAAACCTAGCCACTCTATTTTGCATCATGAGGGTTAGCCACCTCAAGAAATGAGCGAAGATTCTCGGTGACAGAGATATAACTTCACAGCTTAAAGCCAGTCGTATTGTAGAAGCTCCGACATAGTTACTCAAGTGCCGCCTTCAGAAAGTAATGCATTGTCACTTTGTGATGTACTGACATTTGTTTTGGCTTTCTGAGCACCAACAAAAGCTGCGTTACTTTACTTCTAAAGATACAAGTTATAAATATAAATCTGGCAAGTCATTTGCATTCGATGTTCGTTTTCTTATATATAGATATATATATATGTCACACCCTAATGCGCATTTTATCAGTGGATGCCTCGTCATCGCTTACTGTGGACAAAAGACGGTTTTTGAGATTCTTAGCTGTCATTTTGCTCAATGTTCTGTCGTTGTAACGCCATTTTTCTTAGCTAACATTATCTAGTCAATTCGTTGTGTGCTCTAATTTACGTTTGAAAATAACCCTTTATGTTTGTGCTGCTTACGTTTCTCGCTGTCTGTTGTCAATCAGTTAACTTTTACGCACTGTAGCAACAACTGGACGACAGCTAATCCCGGGTATCGATCGTCGCTTCTTGCTGAATGGTTCCATCTAAAAGAGGCCGACAGAGTCAAAGTTGGCATAGCAAAAGGAAACAAAGTGGCGACGGAAGCGCCGCTGGCGTTGAACCGCTAAGCAACACAGGCAGGCTTATAGATTTTGCTGTGTTTACAGTCCCTTACGCTCAGGAAAGGGGAATGAATGTTCCCCGACCTAGTATGTGCATGTATATCTATTATGCGAAAATAGCGCTGGGAAAGTGAAATGGGTCAGCCCTATAAAAAAAAAATCACTAACTCACAGGGAGGGGGCCATCATGCGCTGAATTATCTGCCAACTCGAACGGATTGTAACAGCAATAGCAAAAAAAAAATACTGTATTTGTTTAAAGCCACGAAATTAATGAAATATGCTATCCTACACCCTTAAACATGTGAGACTTTACACATTAGCGTATATTTCGTGTAAATCAACCATCCCTAGAACGACTCTAGCGATTCTTAATAGATCTGGCGTATACGTTTGGATTGAAAAATTGGGCACTGTTGTGAGAATAACTTGGTCTCCAACGGTAGCCAATGCTTAGCCAGTGTTGTTGCCTTACTAGACAAAATACTAGCAGTTATATATTAGACTAGCTATTTTTTGTGCTTTTCTCTAAAGTTTACTGAGCGATTTGCCTTTTCCATAGATAAGACCCTGGAGCACCCTTTTAGTCACCTTATTGTGGAATCCTTCTGACCTTGCCTTAAAAATAAGTAAACAGCAGCATTCTTGTTGCTATCACCGAGACGACTGACTTTAAATGTATATCTTTTTCTGACGATGGAGAGGCACTCTGTCGACAAACAGCTTCGCACATTACTCATTGGGACGCGTTCTCATGTGGATGTTGCGGCCGATAGTAACCTGGACCGCCATTTATACCTTAGCTTCACATCGCAAAAAAAGACTAATTACCTTTGTAGCACCTCCGTTTCGAGTTCTACGTCCGGCGTCGCTGTTAGGCGTTCAGATAGACGGCTGGCTGGCTCCTAGCAAAAAACAAAGTTTGTCTATGTCCGGCCTCGAACCTAGACCATAACGTGTCCCAAAAATTAGCAAGCAACGACGTACCCCTCTAAACTACCACGCGTAAAATTAACGTGTTAGGTAGCTCGGTCGCGTTCGTGCAACAATAAAATGAAATGTCATAGTGTTACACTTTTACTACTTGCTATCGCCCAATGAAGGTATCATAGGTTGAAGACTTTCTAGACAAAAAGGAAGACTGTGAAGTAAAATGTAATTTCTACAGGTATTCAATGATTTTGGTTACTGTTTGGAATTTTTGTGGCCGCTTGATGACTCGGATCTCAGAACTTAAATCTCTTATTATTTAATGAACTTTTGACCAACGTGTGCATCATTTGCGATTTCTAGTTCCAGCATTGCGTTACGTTTGTGATGTCATAGCGTTTTCATTTCCATGAAAGGTTGTTGCCTGCCCCGGAAGTACGCTCGCGCCATTATTACAAGACTAGCGTATTCATACTAAATATTCGATTTAATCTAAATTTGAGCAACATGTTCGTACACGTAATGCCGCTCGTCATCCTTTAGAACACTATTACGGCACTGTTCTCGCTGACAGAGCTACAAAAAGGCCTGTTGAGTGCGTTTTGAAGCGGAGCGGTTTGCCCATTTAGGCACTCACTTTGCTGCTATCGTGGGAACGACCGGCGTCCGTAGTTGTCGGCCTTCTATATACACCGGTTACATTTAATAGTGCAATGGCGTTTACGAGCTGCAGTCCACCGTGCGAGTGTCTGCGATGGGACCCTTGCAATAGTCTCAATCCACTACTATCGCTAACGGTGTCACTGCTGCCACGGCCGCAGCCCTATTGTACCCATCTAGGGCCTAAAGAGGTCTAAGAACAGCGTAAACTGTCTCTAGTGCACGTATTTATTACTCCATTTGTTTGGCGGTGACCATCTACTAGGACATTACTGCGGTAAAACGACCGACTGTGCTCCAATCAATCCCTAATCAGTGTAAACAATATGCGAGCTCAATCGTATCTCTGGTATACGCCATGCCAATGAAAAATTTTGGCAAGAGATTGCTTAATTGCAGATCGTTACCGTGGCGTACCCCGCAAGGCTGTAGTGGTTCGTCTGACCTAGCACCCCTAAAAAAACCGTTTTTCCTCGACAGAGGCGGGTAACATCCGAAAGTGTACGGTCAAAGGTAAAGCACGTCTCATCCATTAAGAAAAATATAACCACGTATGGTAAATGTTTCCACGTTACCTCCTGCTCTATAGCCGCGGCACGGAAACGAGGCACGCAAAAGGGAGAAGCCAGCTCGTAAACTATATCAGGAAAGAGACCAAACTGCAGTGCGCGTTATTGCTTGGCTTTCAGTTGGCTCTGCGATTTTGCTTCGGCGTCTTCTCCTCGTTAACACCTTCATTTTCCACCTCATCTTTCTTCTAGGAGCCTTATCTCAGGCCCAACGCTATTTTCCAATTCTGCCGCCCGCTCTCGCTGCCGTTCCGAAATATAACAGATCACTCGAATCCGCTGGATGTGCCTGCCACGTTCTATTTTTGATTGCAATCGGATGTGTACAGGTACTTGTTTCGTACGATACGATGGCACGATAATGAAGAACAGCACTTTACTAATACTACCCGTAACTAAATATACAGTACAATATAGAATGGGTAGGAGATAATCGACGACGTTTGCTAATTCATATTTCCTCTCTTCAAACTATAATGCGCCTGACGAAGCCACAAGAGTAGATTTCTGCCTTAACTCGTTATTTTTTATTTGCCTAGAAAACACAGTTTGCACAGTTCTCTAATTGAAGCAGATTCTTTTCTTCATACACAAATGAGACCACTGTCTTTAGACGTAGGACCCTGTCGTTAGACTGGCTATTGCATACTATAGCAGCCTAAATTGTTTAAACGAGTTTTACGTTCGGCACTGCCTTAGGTGCGTATTGTTTCAGACTGGCTCTCAGCATAAACAAATTTCGAAACCGGCCTACCTCGCAAAATCCATGAGTTTAATAAGCAAGCACGCTACTACTGCAGCAACACAGGAGCAGTCCATAGCAGCAGTCTGGCGGATACTTGGAAAGACTACGTTCGCCCACGCCTATTCTCTTCCTATCCGTAATCTATCGGTGGCAACATTAGAAAGTTGTCCTGCTAGGAACAATTAGATGAGCCTGCCTGTGTTTTCGTCAAGCTGCGACGTCATAGCATAGCGCTAAAAGTTTGCTTGCTTTCCTTTGAAAACCCTCTCCACTGCGGGCCACCACTTTGATTTAACCTCGTGTTGTTGGCCCACGTGGAATGTGTGCTGCTGCTTTCTGTTAGCCATGGAGCTAAGGTGCCAGCCACTGCAAATACCCTCTTCTCTTGGCCATGAGCTACAGGCTAGACAGAGAGTGCAGGATGAGGGACACCTAAGGCTCTGTCGTCTGCTACGCCACCAATTTTGTTACTGCAAACGCCTATGGCAGCAGCGTGTCTTGAGAGGACACGAGAAGGAGCGAAAGATCGCCGGGCATCAATTCCAGCGATCCCTGTGTTTCTCCTGTCTGCGAAGGTTGATATCAACCGAATGAAGCAAGCGCAGGCCAACAAGGCCACGCAAGGCGAAATCACGTTGCTTTTGTGTACGACGATTGAGCTAGCGATTTTCCCCTTATAGCCCGGCATGGTGGACGTCCACTCGTCGAACGAGTCGGTCGACTGTCTTCAGGTGGGTGATCAGGTTCCGTAATACGAGCAAATGAGCGAGTGACTGAGCTGGTGACGATCGTGATCCCCTGGGAAACCGCCAAACCCCCGTAACACACTGTCGGCGACGATACTCAAATAAACCGATGAACATGCACATTACGGAGTGACAGTGGTAGTGAAGAACTACGATGTTTGATAAAACAATACAATTGCAACGATTTCTATTAGAATTATAATAACAGTACACACGACTGTGGTTCGTGCGTTCCGCTCGAGTAGCTAGCTCGAATACCTCCTAAAGTGTGAAACGCATTGTATGACAGGCGGATTGAGATGCCAACCGCACTACTTAATAAAGGACTATCGACCTTATTGATTGAGGGACTATTGACCTTATTGAACGATAAAGCTTCTATCTCTTTCCTTCTATGTCTGTTGTTATACGTGTGTACGGTCACTAGCCACTGCTGCTCAGAACACTTCTTCTCCGGCACTTACTATCGTCACCCACTCGCGCAATAGAAATTCCCCTTAAATCAATTATTAACATGCAGCTCAAAACTGCGTTATCTGAAGTAATTTTTTTTTCTGGACGCTCTGTTTCCACTATTGAGCCATCTTTCCCGTGAGTCCTCTCTTTCTTTGTCTGTGTTTTGATGTTGTGACATCTATTCGCTTTCCATTTGTGATCTTCTGTCTTTTTCTCTTTCCCTTTTTTTTTTTCGGTTTCCTTTTCCTGTCGCCGTGTGCTTGTCTCTCGTCTTGTCTCTTACCCCTTTCAGCACCGTAGACGGCCTTAAACAGATGGCCGTCGTCAGAGTCTTCTGCGTCCCGTCACTTTCCGTCCTGGGCCGCACCTCAGAACTTGCCAGTGGGTGGCCTCGGGTGGCTGGGAAAAAACGTCAACCGTCGAATCCGTCCAAATCGACACCGCTGTCATCGCCAACAAGTGCTACTGCTACTCTTTGGTTGTTCTCATTGTTATCGTCCTCCACCTCGCTGGTGGACACGTTGCTAACGCTTTCAACGACATCACTGAAGACGAACGACTTTGCCCGATCGCCTTCGCCACGTGCTGCTGTTGTTGCAGCCGCTGCTTCTGCAGTCGTTGCTGCTGGTGTCGGTTCCAACAGAAAAAGAAAAGGTGTTTTTTCGTGTAGCTGTCGTTGTGCGAGTGCAAGCGCGGTCGACGTGCTGAGTTCTGCGCGCAGAGTACTTCAGGTTGTGCTTCTGGTTCAAGCTGCCGTTGCGTCTTTTGACGATAGACTGGCGGTACCAACCATACGTAGGAGTAGCCTTGGCACGAATCTCGTGCCAACGTGCCGATCGACCCGGACGCCGGCTGTTCTGAAGGCGCAGCAAGGTTTTCTCGGCTGGCTCGACCCAGTGACCCTTTCCCGTCCCTCCTACCGCGGGCGGTCTGTTCCGGTGCTGACGGGGTCCCAGGCCCTCGGCCGATGATGGCAGCCCACAAAGAAACCAGCTCTTTCCCTCAGCAGCCGGCGCTAGCATCGCTGCCGTCTTCCTCTTCAACGCCGTCCATTCCGTCCATCGCTGCTGCCGTCTGCACAAATTCGATCGCAAACTATTCGGCTGCCGAAGCCGCGAGTTGCACACCACTGCAGAAACCACAACAGCGCTATCAGCTTCAACGAAACAGACATCAGCTGTGTCGGTTGAACACCGCAGGTGATACAGCTGAAGCAGCTATCGAAGCAAGCAACAGAGGACAGCAGCAAGCGGCGGGTGCAGTTGCCATTGGTGGCACTAAAAGCGCTGCCATCGCTAGGGGCGCTAGCCCTGCCGCAGGCGATAAGGATCCAGCAGGCGACAGCCACAGCTATATCGACGACGCCAGCTCTATCACCATTAACACGAATACGAGCAGCAGCAGCAGCAGCAGCAGCACCGTTTCTGAGACCGCCAGCCAGCATCATCCGATCTGCTGCGGCTCTAACCCGAGCTACTGCAGAGGCGATAGTGGCAGCAGCGGCGGCGACAGCAGCGGCGGCGGCGCTGGTGGAAGTGGCGCGAGCTGCGGCGGCAGCACCGGCGCCCCATGCCATACTTCTACTACTACCAGCAGCACCACCCAACTTTACTATGGCGGCCCCTCCCAGCGCTTCCAGACTACAGCAGCAGTGGTAACGGCAGCTGGCGGTAGCGCCGCTGCCTATGGCCCTCACCCGCTCGCGGCTGTTCCTTCTTCAGTCTCTTCGCACAACTTCCGCCATTTTCAGCAGGAGCACCCGAGATCCGCGCCTGCCAAGGTGGGTGTCGTTGCTCTCATCTGTATGTCGCACCGTCGCGGCTGTTCTCTTGCGTCGCCGTCGTCCTCTTCTTTCTCTTCTTAAAGTACGCGCAGAGTTCCGTAGAAAAAAAAACACAAGCGACAGACAGACAGAAGTGGTTAGGTCGCAGGTTAGGACAGTCCGCTGTTTGCTGGCAGTAAGCTGCTGGCCGGTGTCGAATGCTGCAGATGCAGATCGGCAGCCTTACGCTGAGCACTGTGCAGTGCAGAAGGAAGGATGTACACATGTATATGTAACTTACATAGTGTGTGAGGCGAACGACGAAATATGCCGACCCGATCTCAAGGCGGTTGCTCTAGTCGTTATTACCAATATTGTCAGTTGATCACTGCGATGTCGCCGATAATAATAATAATCTTAATAGGGCCCGATAATAGTAATGTCAACTCGTGGAATTGTCATGTGCAATGATATTGAATACCTTTCCACATATATGATCATAAAGGACATAACTGGTCGTTAAATGATCCGGCACTTTCTTGCTGCCCATGAAAGAAACCAGATGAAACTTTAACGTGCGCGGTAGTGCAAGTCGTTTGCTGAGAGCGTTGTTAACATTTAATGTATGTGCATACAATCTACTTTTGAGACAAAGGCCGCTACCTATCCGTTTGTAGTAAACCAGTGCGATGCCGATGGCCGTTGTTGTTATACAAGTAGGACTCATTTGAGTGCGAGCAAGAGCTGCTTCTCAGCGGCGGTGGCGTATGTACATGTGTGTGCGTGTCTAATCTTGTAGGACTTGTATTCGTGCTCGGTGAAATTATCAGCGACGACAGCGGCAACGAGCAGATGACGAATGGTGCCAAATAAGATTATAGAGCGTTTGCTCGCGTGTGCCTCTTGTGCTTGGGTGAACTGGCCTGCTTTACAGCAGCGACAACAACAACGACGACGACAACAACTTTCGCTGTGAAGAGGGCGTTACAGAGCGAGCCCCCATAGATAGTTGCAGGCCGAGCGACCCTTTCGTGAGAATGTGCCTGTCGGCCTCAGTGAGTGTTCAGTCTATATATTTTAGGTGATGCTTACATACGCTTTACGTATGCATACAGATGATCATACTAGGGGTGCATCACAGGATGTGCAATTGTTTTAGTACTACTATCAAAATGGTAATAACAGAGTGCTATTTCGGCCGTGATTGCATCGCGTTTGTCGATGCGTATTTCGAAATAATGCTGTTAGGTATAAAAATGGTGATGATAAAAGCGATAATGATCGTAATAATTGTGAAGAAAATCCGCTATCGACGAAAGAACAAAAGTAGCGCCTCTCTACCTAATGCCGGATAACGCCATGTTCGGGATACGCCAATCGTTTCCTATCGTCTTAAACTAGTCTCGGATTCGCTGCGAGTCGAAATCGTCGATTTAGCTAAATGGCATTGACCTATCGATCCCACTGGTTACTTATTTAACCACAGTCGGCTCTGTACTAAGCTTCTGATGTTTGTTCTGAGAATTAAGGAAGTTATGAATATAGGGCGATTAACTTTAACGGAATACTATGCTTTGTCTGGACATTCGGATACAAACTTAATGTGTATACCTCAGTTGTAATCACTCTGCTCAATACGATCAGCTTTTAAATATCAGTCGCCAATCGCGAAATAAGCCGCGTAGTTTTCTTAACCTTACAAAATTCGACAAAACCTTACAAAATTGAGTTACTTAGCCCCTCGCTGTGGTTTCTCAAAAGCCTCGTCCGAATCAAGCACAGACCTGCCACTGTAGGCGTATCAGCTAGTCCAATACCGCTGTGATATTTTTAACCGGTACATTTACTACCATCATCGCTTTTGTCTGGGGGGTCTTTGTGGGTAGACGTAGAGATAATTAGATATCTAAGATTCCGCCAAGCGTTTCTACTCTGTTGGAGTACTTTTTTTCTATCTGTGTCAATCTACGGTACACTTGCCATGGAGCTTGATTTTGATGAGAACTACTGTTTCGTTCTCGGCGATATTCTCGGCACTGTTTACGGTTCGTCAGTGCGCGTCTTCTGCCTTATTAGCCAAACGGACGTCAACTAGAGCTACAACCGTGCACTGTCCCGTAACTTGGTCTCCTATCGTAGCCTCTGTTCTTCGTCGTTGTAGCACGCGCGCTCACACTCTGACCTGATTGTGCCCATCAGGCAACCTTGCAAGGCTTAACTATCGACTACACATCACTATCTTACCCATTTGATATATTCAAGTTCCGAATATTTTGGTACCAATGAAAAAGAGGGACTGAGAACTTGACCAATCGAAAAATGTCGTTGCTGCCACCACGATCAGTTTCCGACTAGTATGACTGATGTGATGATTAGTACATAATAAATCTGTCTGCGTATTCATACTTGCAATCTATGCAGCTTTAATAAATCCATTTTCATATCTGTCTCAGCTAGCTTAGCACCCTTCTCGAGAACCACGCACGATCTATGTACGCCATGATATCTTGTCACAACAAAAAATTCACTGCTACAAATGAATCACTCAACTTTTTATTGATAGAGCAATTCTGCAAAATCACAGTATCAGCACTGGGCACCCTCACCTGCTGTCTGTACATTTTCTTCCTAAACCTAAAGCCAACGCGAGAACATCAGCACCTGTGGCTCACGAATGAGTAAAAGCCCAGCTAACAGATAGCTTTGCCCACCTTCCTTTTGCAGTGTACTATTATCACCTGTGAATATATTGTATATCGATATGTTATGATAGATCAGTCGTTGTTAGTTGTCATGGTACGTTCATGATTTACTAACACATTGTCGCGTTGATTACGCCGCTCCATCGCTTGCTTCTTCTCTGCCTGCTCCGGTCCAAAACAAAACTGGGAATCTCGATGCAAATCCATGCCGTTCGATGCCGATTCCGCGTTTACTGTCACCACTACCGGATTCACATAAACGCCTTCCCCGACAACCGTGCCATTGCTGACTCACCGTTACGTTCATCCAAATCTCACTTTCATATCTTCCAACCCATCCACCATAACCACTGTGTTACCCAACAACAACAACAACAATAATACCTATACAACTATAATCTTCACTGAAAACCATCACAATATCGTTAACACCGAAATCATCTCATCATTGTTGCTATATCGTTGTATCGAACCGTTCCACGCCACCTTATTCGCCTCGAAATCATCATGAATGTTCGACCTGCAGCCTACTGTGCTCAACCTCTCAATTGCAAGTCCGGCTACGAGCTCCTCATCGCACCGCAAGTTCATCAAGGTAACAACAACAACAACAACAACAACAACAACTATATTATGTCAGAGAACAGTGATGACATAATGCAATGTATGACCACCTTGAAACAAACCCTTGGCAATATCGACCATCGAATACGGCAACCATCCCTCCTATTTACTCACGTATTTTTCCCCGCATATTTCTCTGTTTGTCCTTGCTCGCTCCGAATCATACACTGTACTAGTAGCACTATTTACGCTTCGTTTGGTTTTTTTTTTTTAATCCGATACATCGTGTCGTCATAGCTTCGTTCTGCCATGACTCTGCTCGTCCGTCTGTTGGCTTTCGCAGCTGCTCGTCAGTAGTATCAATAATGGTTCGCTGTGCCCATTTGGCGTAAAAATTGCTATTCATCCGCACTGGCTCCATATATTGTGCAGTACTATACTCGTAATTCGCCCTCGAACACCTTCGGGTGGGAAAGGTATCTTCTGCTGCGCCGACCTTGATCTCCGACTAATCGGGTGATGTACCTGCAAAATGCTGCCGTTACTGTCACCCCACCCATCTGTTTGTCCACGTATTTACGAGTCGAAAGAGGCAGAGTCCCCGAATATTCGGAGGCAGTGAGTGACTAATTATTTTACAGTGCTCATTGATGTCGTGGTGTATTAGGCCATTATACTGGCACCATGCGCTTATCAGGGAACGGGAAACGGTATTGTAATAGCCATCTTCTTGGAACGATGCCATTCATTCAGCGGCATCATCCAGTTGCTTTAACCCGACCTTTTACATCATCTGCAGACATTACGATCACCAACGACTCTCCTTTGTCCTCTTTTCTGTCATGACAGATTTGTAAGCCGTGTCCGTGCCGTCAACATGGCCAGCGCCTGAACGCCTGCTGACTCTGTTGTAGTGTTAAAGCAGGCGTGGCCGTTCAAGGTGTATAACTAACACTACACTGCTGTTATTTAAGTTATGCTTGGGGCTAAAGCGAAATCGGTCCTAATCCCTGCTCTGCTAGTACTTCAGCAATTTAAGCTACGTGCACGTTCACGTACGGTGAATGAGTATGCTCAGTGGGCGTTCTAGTCGTTGTCTGAATGGCCCCTCTTGGCCACACAAAGAAAGCAAATGGGAAAATAGGATGTTAACGAGAGGCCGACTTGTTCTCTGGGCAACGGCTTTTAACACACACAGCTGGCCGTGGGAACCTCAAAATACGCCCATTCCGAAAGAGTTGTCCTTCTGGGAAGGTTAACAAAGCATATCTTTTTCAGCTTCTACTCAAGTGAGACATGAGTAGCTCTTCGAAACTTTGGTAGTCGCTTTCCGCAAAGACATTTTCCTCATGTACTGACGTTACGTCAGTCCCTGACCTAGTAGGCATTTTGCCCTCGAAAAAAAAATCGTTCTGAAGGGCAGATCGCTAGCCGCGTTTTTAAAACTTACCGAAACTCTCAAAGCTTTACAATATTTTCAACACACGTCGCGTTGAATGTATGCCAGCTGTAAAGGCTTCCACCGACTGCATCCGATCATCACGGCTTGCAGTGCCCTGTTCATGTATAGCCCGCCAATGAAACAACAAATCCAATCAGCCTCTTACCGAAAGCACGAATGATAATCTGAACATATCAGTTCCGTATCTTGCTCACATGTTTCAGCTATTTATGGCAAACTAAGCTTTAGCATGGAAGGTTTCGACCTGTGACGAGCGGGCCATCAAAGTGGCGCTCCGCGTGAAATAGCTGTCCTCTTAATTTCGCTAATATTCTGGGCCATCCTTGTTTGAAGATAAGGACAATATAAACATGTGTTAAATCATCGTTTATTTTGCGTCGGCTGACTGTCTAGGATTTGCCCTCGTCATATATATGACACACACACCTCAACAAATGATGAATTAGATTTTAGAATAGCTATGGGATACTATACTAGATTAATGCTAGTCACGGATTTCCTCGTTCGTGCAGCTGAATCCGTTGAAGTTCTTTTTGGTAGATTGTTCTTATTTTGCTGGGACAGAGAGCGTATATGGGAGCATTGCGTCTAGAGACGGATCATATCCTTACAAAGAAGAATTGCTGAACGCGCAATGGATGCCTTTTGTATACAATGGTATTGGACATGAATTGTCTCTAGTAAGATAATTTGGAAGGGATCAATACGACAGGCTTTAAGATTCTTTAGTGTGCAATCATGCCTATTTTCTATTCTATACGTTTCTATTCTTTAAAATTACTTAATGATTGCTGTAAAAAGTACAGTGGCCATGTAAACTCATTACTGTATATCTTTTCGTATAAACCAATGATTGTGTCCTTCGAATATCTCCGTAGCCGATCATCCCTCACTCATATTCCAGAGTAAATGTATTTATATTGATAAACAGCGGCAGTCAATCATGAAAAGGATATTGATATCCACTATACATGACCCCTGTTAGAATCAACTGTTTCACATCAGCGATGTAAGGCAATGCCTCTAAGCAGTGCGTCTGTTGCCACTTATACGTCCGTCCCTTTTTTTTTCCTTCATATCAAATCAGTGTGTATAAGCTGTACAAAAACCAGACAATACTTTGTTCAAGCGCATATTTAGAATCATCTGTTTGGCTGGTCTGTTCCCTTCAGCTTTAATAACACACACTTCGGATGGCGGCCGTTTTTGAGTGGATGCTTGTTCGCCTATTTTTTTTCCGGTTTCCAACAGTATCTATTAGACAACTTCTTCTCGATCCCATCAACGTCGCCTGCTTGCTTATTTTGGCAATAAAAAGGAAACACCCATGCTACTATGAGCATGCAACAAAACAAGACCTGGACTGCACTATCTTATTCGTTAAAGTCCCGTTTACCGTTCGCGGGTCTTATATCGAATACCCTTTCCCGCCACACCATCTCCAACTTCGCCTCTTTACTATCAACCTGAAGCTGACAGCATGCGATTTTCGATCCATCTGAAATGGTGCGCTGAGTCTTGCCCTGTCCACAAACGTCATAGTCACTGTCAGATGTACAGGCAAGAGTCCTGTTCCATCTAACGTGCTGTCTATGTTTGCACGGGCGTCCTTGGCCAACCCTGGCTCGCCTCTTTCCGCAGGTCTATACAACGGCCGGTTCATCGCGCGCCTGGGCCCGAACGCCCAGTCCTGTCAAGTCGTTCTGCACACCTCTCGGCACACCCGACTGTGAGTATCCAAATATCCTCCTACGTAACCAAGGTAGTTTGTTATTTGTCACTGTATTTCTCTATTGTCTGTAGCGGCACCGTCAGTCTGTTGTTCTACGGATGTGAGTATCTATGTACGTGCCATGTTTTTACACACGGAACCGCAGCGACAATCGCATGCAGAAATCATCCGTAAACGACGAGTAAGACCGAGTATGAACGAAAGCGAAACAGCAGTTTACACAAGCCTTTAACGAGCATCTTATGTTTCCTCTGATACGAAAATGTTTCGCGTCCAGATACGTCGCACACGTTCACAGAATAATTGTGCTTGGATCGCGGTTAGACGTGTGAAATAAGGTATGGAAATGTCGACTTGAATGAAGATTTGCCTGAAAACATATCAGGAAAAGAGAAAGAGGGCCTCTGGACGTTAGGATTCATGTCCAGTATGTGGATGTGGTGTCCTACGTGGAGGAAGAGGTCAGCACGCTGAAATCGTAGTTTGAAACTATTTATTTCTTTTGAATACATCTAGTTGGTACTAAAACAAGATGTTTTGCTGAGTTGGTTAACTATAAACAAAGTGAGGTCATCATGCATCAGTGGATTGTTTATAGAATTTATTGAAACAGAATTTCTATTTCAGCTAATGTGTTTTACTTACATACCGATACTTATTAATGTTAAGTACAACAAAACACCTGTTGTCAACGGCTAGATCTACTCCGAATGTTATCAGTTTGTCTATATTTGTTTCGTAAGACGTCCGTTCGATCTGCTCACCGGTAAATTCAAGCGTGAGAGCTGGTATTGTTTAGACGGGAGGATACTTTGCCGACCGGCGTTGCTTTCTACCTTATTAGAAGAAGAGATACGATGAAGCCTTGTGTTGTCACAGTGCCCCTGTAATTTAAGTTCGACGCGATTGCGCATATAAACGCTATAAGCCACTACAATGAAATACTTTAAATTTAGAGGTCGTAGCGTTAATGTACTTCAACGTTGACCTTGGTCCCGTGGTGATGCGTCTTCGTTGTTAGTTTCATGTTCAAGCTAAATGCCTCGAATTTTACGTCCAGTGTCGCCGTCAGGGATTGTATAAATCTGTATGTGCCTGTAGGAGAACTTCCGTTAGAATTAGATTTACTAACTAAGCATCTGCACTGCACGGTTGGTCAACAAGCGTCCCAGAACATAATGGCAGGAGGTGCCTGCTAGTGCTTGGTCATGCCATTAAAGCGTTGTTAATGATTCCCATTAAGTATTTCCATTAGCGTATCTAAATCCAATCGATTACTGAAGGAAAATTATCTATAAGTTGGAGATGTAGTTCTAACAATGGACGTTTGTCCCCCTTATCTAGCATGAAGAAGATATCGGGCTTGACATTAATTCAATGGCAATAGTTATTTTGCCTCGTTATTAGCAAGTTACTATATCTCTAGATTCGGTAAGTTACTTGATTGACTGGCTATTCAATAGAAGATGGTAATCTATTATTATTCATATTGAACTTTTTTGTGCAGACTAATTTTGTTCTGTTCTAGACATATGTTGGTGTTTTCATTATCAGCGGATTGCTTAACAATGGTAGCTCCTTTGCGTAATCGTTATGGCTATGAAGACATAACAGACAGGCAATTTTTGCTTAAACTTCAGAAAGCAATTATTCTTTATTAAATAAAGTTAAACATAAACGACAGCTGAAGGCTTTGGAAGACAACGGTGCCTTAAGAATTACGGAGGATTTTGCCATAGGCTTAGAAAGAGCTAGAACTCAATGAACCGAGCGTTGGGGTATTTGTAATTGACACAGCTGTGATTAGCCAAGTTCAGAGGGCCAACATTGGTCAACTAACTACAAACTTAAACTAAACTTGTCAAAACCATTTTACAGTTGAAAAACTTGAAGATTAGCAATGCAATTTGATTATAATGGACGGATCGCGGCTCGTTTAGCATTGGTGCTCCGTGTTTATCGGGTATACCATTTGTTTGTATGTTCAGAAACCTGATTGACCTGGACGACTGGTATTGACGAAAGCAGAATGACTGGAATACGTATATTGCGATGTGCTGGGGTAGCATCATTTCGTGCAGAGAGGCACAAGTAATTCAATCTATTTTTAAGACAGACTACGTTTATTATTGCAGAACATTGGCTAGCAATTTTGTATTGACAGTTTACAGTAAATGTCAACCATGAACGAAACCGTCTCAGGCAAATAAGTGGGTAGCTAAAACATCATGTTGTGGTTCATTTCTAAATAAATGTGAACGTTTTCAAACAAATGTTAGAAATAGAAGTGGATCGTTGTGTCACAGGCTGCGTTACCCAAGGAAATGGCATCATCTATAAAGCTTGCCGAGGTTTTTTGGATCAGAACTTAGATGCAAAAGTTCAGCATAGAACCTAGCTAAAAAGGAAAGAAAATATTAAAATGATCAATTGAGGAAGTCTCAGTCGATGTATATCATACAGCCTTTCTTGCACACATCTTACTAGCCGGCTATATATACCCTATGCCTGGCAGTCGCATCCTGATAAAGATCAATGGCAGCTTTTTCTCTGCGCGCGAGCTTTGCTATCTTTCTAGTGGGCGCGCATAGGCTTCCTTCCTTTGCGTTAATAAATCGCAAGCAATTTCCTCTGTATAAGAATCACCTTAAAGATAGGCGACCAGATGTGCGACCAACCTAGCCTGCCTACTCTTTTTATAGTTGGCATTGGATTTGCTTGTAAAAAAAGAGTATTTGCCCCATAGCAGCGGAGAGGTAGTTTGTTGTACTACCTATTTGAGCTACCTATTCGTCTGCGCCCGCTTTCAAATAGGACGTATGGTAACAGGTAGAAATGCTGCCAGCGAAGCGCCACGAGCGAATGTGGCGTTCGTCTTTCGAAGGCTGCGGTGCCGTTAGTGATGACTGTTTATAACCTAAATGCTCGCTTTTGGATACTCTAATAAAAAACGGTCCGCTACTATCCCTTAGGTTCTAAAACCAATTGAAATCAACTAAAAGTTCTTGGTGCGGAGGTGGTTAACGAGGTCACTATCAAGTGATAGCTTCTGTCACTTTCATTTTCCTCCGCACAAAAGAAAAGCTGTTTCAACGGCATTTGTGATTCGGCTGTCTAATCAGAATTTGGAGGCAAAATTTTTCTCCAATAACGTACTACGTGTCACGCATGTCACACTTCTAGCTTGTTCACGTAGACGTATAACGTGTGAAGTGAGCGAATGTGTTTCATCAAAATGTTCTATCAACAATTTTAGCTGAACAAAGATGTGACAATGCTGATCGATGTTGCTTGGACCGTTTCTGCTCGTTTTTCCTATATCCAGCAGAGACTCCCAAGGTAACCGGCGACCAATATTTTTACGTATTTATCCTTTACGTACGTATATCAAAACTACCAACTTCCTAAGTAGTAGTAGTAGTAGTATTTGGAAGTAAGTAAAACACAAAAATTCACTTGTAGCAACAATTTTTTCCATATAATATCATGCTTGGTTTGTTGCTATTCATCGACTGCTTGTTGTGAGCTTTCTGAAAACCATAGTCGATCAGACTGCTATTGCTCAGATTAATTTTGACTCCAGTTATCACAGGACCAAGTATAGCCTGAGTACGCAAACACCAACTGTGGGATAGCAATGTATTTTATTTGGGCTTTATTTATCAGTAATATTTAAAATAAATTTATGCTGTACGCATCTCAAACCTAAGTAATCTTTTGAAAAAAGTCAAAATTCTATGGGAATGTCACATTACAATACAAATGTCTCCTTTAATGCCGAAATTCGAGTTTTCAATTGCGCGCAGACTTTTTGTTTTCCCGTTAGGGACAATGACCTCACGGAAGGATCGAAACATCGAACCTATACAGAAGGGTTTGGGGCGTAATGGGTCAAAACTTGTGCAAAGGTTGGGGTAACTTTATACGGCATTTTTGCAGTAGATTCTCTGTGCGGGCTGCCTCTCAAGCACGACACTATACTGGGGTAGTTTTTTCGAACTGCACATTACCAGGTAAGCTGCTGGTTTTTTCACAGCTTGATTTCACATGGCGGAAAGCGTCACAGGTTGGTTTCTTCCAATGGCTTTGCGTACATTTTGTGTTTCTCGCAGTGCGATTTTGTACTGGATAATTCCCCCGTGAGACTGAACTGTAACTTCTCGTGTGTTGTATAGATACTCATATTTTTCGTAAATGTTGTAAAATCAACGGTGTCGACCTTTGAGATACCGCTGCATAACTCTGTCCCAATACTAAGTAAACAATCGTTAATAATGTTTGACTCTAAGTATAGTCTATTTTCTATTATATTTTGCCAATGTTAGAAGTGAAATAGTGAAGTATATACTTGACTTTTCGCCTCGGTATTATTTTAGTTGGCCTCATGCGTCACATGAGTCCCCCTGTTCTTTGAATATGGGATTAGTAGACGTGCCTTCATTGACATATAATCCTTAGAGTAATGCCATCAAATCAGAATTTCTCTGTGGCAATATTTGCGGCAGTCCTAGATTCAAAAGGTGTTTAGTTGTTGTTATTAGTTCAGCTTTTTGAATCACATAAAATATGACCTTTCAAAGGTTAACCGTGTTTTCGGTCATCGGGACTAGCATCTTTCAAGAATCTCTCTAAAAGTCTGACTCCCAACCAATGGACAGAAAAAATGCGACGTCCAAGCGTGGAAAGGACTCAACTCTTATTTTACTTCAGGGACTACTGCTAAGTGTTTCCTACCGCGTTAACCCCATAGTAGCATAGAGTGCTATATTAAGCAGAAAAGCTATCCAGCGGAGTTTGGTTATACTTACTTTGACAGATTACGTGCAAGATTTGCGATCCAGTTTCTCTTAAACATAATGTACATAATGAATTTGAGGTCAAAGGCGCGGGCCAGCAAATAGGACTATTAACGAAATTAAATTCAATAAAATAATTCGGGCAAATGTTGATTCTCCATATTCGAACGAACCGTACGGACAATGCCGTCTGACGCGTTC